GTCTTAGTGGTTAGACCGCTGACCACGTGTCCTCGAGAGGACGGAGCATTGTTCCCACAGGACCCATTACCGATGGCCAATCGTTCCTTCCTACTTTGCCAAAGGTGGCTCAACAATGTCTTTCCTAGTCTGTCTATCCTTTCCCGCCTTTTCAACCCACCTCCTATGCCCCACTACAGCTACCGTCCTTTCCTCTCTATTCCATGCCTCAAACATCTCCCTGTGCGTCCCATCTATTTTCCCAGCTCAGTCATGTACACTTCCCTCTCCTTGGGCAGCGGGGGGCTCTAATTTCTACAAATTGCATAAGGGGCACAGTGGATAGAAATCCATCTGTAGTAGGGGGGGCAATGACATATTGTAGCGAACGAAGTCCACCATATTAATTCCCACATAAAAACGAATTCGAAGGTGCCCTCCCGGGGGAGGGGGGGGTGGCCTATGTGTTGTCCGAAAAACTTTGTTTCCCGTACCCTTGGGGGTCGGGGCTGTCTCAATTTTGTTCGGTGCGCGACCGACGGAAATGATATCCTGCCAAGCTGGTTGCGGTTCTCACATAGTAAGTGCTGGTGGGAACGAGAGACACAGTCCCCATCGACCTCCGATATCTGGGAGGTGAGGGGTGATAAACAATGCAAACTGCAGCCAGCCATGTATGTATGTGCACAACGTGTCTTCCTTGAATGGATTCCCGTCCCAATGAGTGACTTTCATTTCTCCCAGAAAAGTCATTGTGGTCTACATCATTATTAAATATCTTCGGAAGATCCCGACCCCAGGCACGTTCTCGCCGAACGCTTGCTTCCGGCTGATCTTTCATGCGATATGATCGGTTGTCTTCGCACAGGTACGAGATGATGCTGGAGGAGGAAGACTTGTTCAGGGAATGGTATCGTCCACACACCGAGCGCCTCGAGAAACTTCTCGGGCGTGAGATGATGTGGTAATTGCTGCTCAAGTAATTTTGCCATCGTCGATTCATGGACGGACATTTTTTGCCATGAATACCCACTACCACATGGATGGGAGTCAAGCCGGGTCCGTTGTTCCCTCGGTTGGTTTTCGTAGCACAGGTTGACCAGAGGCCTCAGAACACCACCACAGGTTTTGGACTCAACACCATACCACTTTGTTCCAGGCTGCCGTTAGCTGCGCAACTCCGACAACGAAGCCCAAACCAATAGTTTTCACTTTATTCGCAACTCAAACCCAGCCGGTTCTCTTCCCACTCACTGGAAAGACTTCAACACACCCTTTCGAACTGTGGTATTATCTCGAACGGGTAGTCTTTCTGTGATATTAGACTATGTATACTCAAACACCCGTCGGCTTCTTGTTAAAAAAGTTTACTTCCATGTCTTGTCGATTGATGATGGTCTAGTCTGTTCTAGGAGTGTTTTTTGGCATGTGGGGCTGGTCGTTATGTACAATTTACGGAAGTGTGACGAAGGTGTGTGTGTATGTTCGGAGCTCTACAGCAGTAGTACCAAAAACAAACGTACTTCATTGAGGTAGGTGGGGGAGGGTGCGTGCTTTCCACCAAAGGGGTTTCCTCGTGTACTGTAAAGCTTTGATTTTTCGGAGGTCGACGGGGACTGGCCATCATGTGGTCATTTCAGTTAGAGTCACTCGTCACATGCATACAAATGGTAAAAAGTGTTCCCGCGGTGTACACCAATAATAATACAGTTGGCTGCGTCAGTTAGTTGGTCCAAGGGAGCCACGGCTAACATCTGGGTGAGGTAGGTGTCAATCCAAAGTCATTCGTGTCAAATTTGTTGATGTATTGACTTTGCGCTGGAAGGCGTCGGCGAATCGAGGCGTCGGCTTTGATCAGTTCTTCTGTGGAAAAGAAAGAGGGTTCCGTCCTCGACAGACGTTGGTGGGGAGTTTCAACCTTTATGAAGGCGGTCTCCACATTACCCCCCCCATTTTCGAGGCTTCTTCTTGTTTGCAAGGCAAGAGAAGTCTTCTTAGGGTAACCGGAACCCGACCGGCTGGTGGCGAGTAGAACCACCTTTTTTCCAACAATCTTCTGTGCGTGTGTGCGGGTGAACCACATCCGCCACGCCTTGCCAGAAGTTTCGAGTTCGATAGACAGCAGTGCATCGTTTCTTCACGGCCCACTCACCGTTTTTCTTTTTCCGTACTCCGGAAGAAAATTAGATGAGCAGCGGGTTTTGGACCCGTGTCTTTTGCAACCAAAAGCAGCCACCTGACATCTCTTGTCGACGCCTTTGTGGAAAAGAGGGTTTCGTCCTCGACAAACGTTGGGTGGGGTGTTTCAACCTTTATGAAGGTGGTGGAGTTTCAACCTTTATGAAGGTGGTCTCCACACTTCGTTTATTTTTTTTTTGTGTTCTGGTCCTTAACCCCTCTGGGACTGGGCTCCTCCCAGCCCGCAAGGCGAGCAGCCTGGAAATGCGGCGGGACTATTCGAAAAATA